AATGCACTTGTGCCAACGCCGTTTCCACTGTGAGAAGGCTCCTTGAAAGTCCTCTGGTTGTAGGTTTCTCAGCTGCCCCGTCGTAGCTTTTTTTATCTCATTTATGTCCCCCAAATGCCGCCCCCGAAGTACCAATTTGGTTTTTGGGAACAAGAAGAAGTCACACGGGGCCAAATCCGGCGAATAGGGGGGTGTTCGGTCACCGTAATGGAATTTTTACTCAAGAACTCACGGACAACAAGAGAGGTGTGGGCAGGGGCATTGTCGTGGTGAAGAATCCAACGCCCCTCTCGCGCCAATTCTGGACGAACTCGTGCCACACGAGCTTTGAGGCGTCTGAGCACATCGACGTAGAATTTTCCATCAACTGTCTGGCCTGGAGGGACGAATTCTTGATGGACAATCCCCCGAACATCGAAAAAAACAATCAACATTGTCTTGACATTTGAGCGGGATTTTCTTGATTTTTTTGTTCGTGGTTCCCCGGATGTCTTCCACTCTTTGCTTTGGGATTTTAATTCGACATCAAATTCGTAGAACCAAGACTCATCTCCAGTGATGACTCGGTTCAAAAAGTCACCATTCTCTTCGGCTTCCAACCAGTCCTCACAGCAAGCAACTCTTCGTGATTTTTGATCCGGGGACAAAAGCTTGGGAACGATCTTGGCGCAAATTTTTTTCATTTGAAGTTCGTTTCTTAGAATTTCGTGGACCACGGTTTTGCCCAAATTAAGCTCTTCAGCCACCTGTCTGACCGTTAAACGACGGTCCCCATTAACACAAGTTCGAATTCTTTCCACGTTTTCGTCGGAATGTGAAGTGGAAGGACGTCCTGAACGTGGGTCATCTTGAACGCTTTCTCGGCCCTCTCTGAATCTTTTTAGCCACTTGTGGACGGTTGGTTCCTTCACAGCATCATCCCCATAAACTGTTCTGAGATCGGCAAAAATTTCACGGCCATTCTTGCCGAGTTTCGAGAGAAACTTGATTACGACGCGCTGCTCTTCAACGGAAGCGGGCTCCATGCCGACGGGGTTTCGTTAAGAGGTAACTTCACAGATGGCGTGACAAGCCAGTTCGCACCGCACGGCGGTCAGACCAGAACTGAAGCATTGTTAGGGACATAAGGAAGGGGTCCTGCGCTTACCTGGCCTCCCCACTCCTCTTTCTCGCATTCCAGAACACTTTTATACGAACTTTCCGGACAGACCTCGTATATATATATATATATATATATATATATATATATATATATATATATATGTAAATATATTTGTTATCTATATGTATTTATTCGTTTATTTTTTTTTATGAAACTTAGAATAGTAAACCAGCTGACGGCCCACCTGATGAAAAGGTCGCTTATAGACATGAGCAGTACCATGGACATAACAGAATATACTGTTTTGCCCAGGATCCCCCCCACGCGTTGCCATCCTGAAGACTCAGGTATTATTCCTCTGTACCCGGTAAATTCACTGCCATATCCCACCCTTCAAACCGAAATACAGCCATGCAAACACAACTGCTTTACGATAGAAACACGAATGGGAAAGAGGTGCTCAAGCAAACGACTTTTTACAAAGTCTCCCTCTGTTATTGTTATGTTCTAGTTCTGCGAAACAGTATACTCTGTTATGTCCATGGATCTGCTCATATCTATAGGCAACGATTATTACTTTCCATCAGGTGGGCCGTCAGCTTTATGCTATTCTAAGTTGCATTAAAAAAAAATTAATAAATTGTGCGAGAGACTCTAAAAAATACGTATTTAAAACCTTAAATAAATACAATACTGTTCATTTTTACCAAATACTGTTTTAATATTCTTCTCAGACCTAAATATACTTTATTTTTTGTAAAAAATAAAGTTGGAAACCCTAAAGTGCTTTTGGTATTTCTGGCGGGGCACAAGTGAGGGACGATATGTGAGGACGAAAGCAGGTCAATTAGCCCATCGTGACGAAATCCACGATTAACTTTATTAATTAACCACGATGGTTTCCATGGGGAACCGCGTGGAGGTCGACCTGATAGAGTACATGCTGCCCATCCCTCAACCATTAAGTTCCCTTAGTCGCCTCTTACGACACCCACGAGAATGGAAGGGCATACATATTTGGTGTAAACTTAAAAACATGGATGAAAGGTTGTCTGTAAGAGATTTTTTTTTAATGGATGATAATGGAATGATAACCCCGCCTGCGCTATCGGTGTACACTGGCGGGGCATCAGTGAGGGATGACAGGTGAAAATGAAGCAGGTCAGTTAGCCCATCGTGACAAATTCCACTAGAATTAATCACGATGGTTTCCAGGGGGAACCGCGTGGAGGTCGACCTCATAGGTTGTATTACTAGCATTGAGTCAGATCCCATTAATAACAATTCTTTTCCCCCCGTCTGTAAGAGATTGCCCTCGTGATAAGACCACCTTTTGTACCTTTATATGTATACATATTTTAATCTGTATTTCGCACTACTGTATTTCAGTTGAATTATTTATATTTTATTGTTTATTTTTATGTTTTTGGTGCAATAAAGAGTTAAATAAATCCCTAGATCTATTATTATACATATATAAGTAAATATCGACTTTAATAAAAATTAAAAAAAAAAACAAAGATTTCCCTTTCGACGAGCAGCTGTCACGTAATTATAAATATTATTATGTATATTGTATCATCTGTAGGTATGTACAGCATTGCCGGGATTTCCTCCGTCTGCGAGACTCATAATACCTACACTCCGAGAACAGACAGAGATTTCAAGCGTTTGCAGCGCTTTATTGATACACACTTTTGACAGTTTATTTAAGATTAGCGCTATTTTTTTCTATAGTCATTCGTTGTCGCCATAAAATGTATAGATATTAAATGTAATAAGTATTAAATAAATATAATATAAGTATAATATAATTGTAACTACATGATGTATGTACATGGGTGATATTTACTTTAGCCGACTAAAGAAATTAAATAGACAAGGGATTAGCAGCAGCGTCCCTTCTAAAACATCACCAAATTCTAACTGCAGTTGCCAACTAGCCTACCAAGCGTGGTAAATAGTGGCAAAACCTCCCCTTACGGCGAAGCCTATGTTCACCAATGGACAATTAATCGCTAATATAATCATAATAAACTATAATTTTACTAACTCTTTATTCAAATCGTGCAGCCACTTGATATTTTTATTTTTATGATTAAACCACAATTACACATCAGATGAACTTGATTTCAAGTTTTCATGAAGTGCCACAATTGCCACAATTTTGTGTCAGATCAACTATATTACAATTTTGTATTATGTGAACTAAGTCACAACTTTGTATTAAATGAACCATGTCACAGCTTCGACTCAGGTAAACTATATTACAATTTTGTATTAGTGGAACTAAGTCACAATTTTGTATTAAATGAACCATGTCACAGCTTCGACTCAGGTAAACTATATTACAATTTTGTATTAGTGGAACTAAGTCACAACTTTGTATTAAATAAAACATGCTCCAACTTCGTATCAGGTGAACTATATTACAATTTTGTATTAGTAGAAATAAGTCACAACTTTGTATTAAATAAATCATGCTCCAACTTCGTATCAGGTGAACTATATTACAATTTTGTATTAGTAGAAATAAGTCACAACTTTGTATTAAATGAACCATGCCCCAACTTCGTATCAGGTGAACTATATTAAATTTTGTATTAGGTGAACCATATCACAATTTTGTATCAGATGATCTATATCACAACTTTGAATCAGACACCATAAACCATGTCACAACCACAACTTTATATCAAGTGAACCATGTCGCAACTTTCTATCAAGTAAATTATATTACACACAATATTGTACGGGTGAACCATGTAACATTTTATGGGGTAAGTTTAATATTTCACTGGTAGTATTAATTCCTTAGCACTAATAGTTAATCATCGAATTCGTAAATCCTTTTACCTTAACTACCTAGTTGATAGTGTGGATAAAGTCACCTAGAGATATACCTATAGTCACCGTCAGATCCACTGATTAACAATACTGGATAAAAGTGATAGGAGGTAGTGATAGGTACCTTTTTTTATTTACATAGCCTGATTATCTACTTAGGTAATCAGACAATATAAATAAAAACCTTCTAAGCTATCACAGATAAGACTGACTGATTTTTGTATTTGTACTATCACATGATCCTGATAAACTTTGATACGCCATCATAGTTCCTCAGCAGCCAGTGAAATATCGACTATTAAAATTTATAAGAAAAAAAAAAACATAGTAAATAAAAGTATTCTAAATAATTTAATGTTACAATAAGACCCCAAGACTATAATAATCTTACGTAATGTTTACGTAAAAATAAACGATAAACAAAAAGGTCAACGCACACCGCACACCATTCAGCCGCTGAAGCGCTGCGCGACCAAATCTCAGCTGAGCAGCGCATGGCGGCAGGTCGCACACCTGACGTCGCCCCCCGCGCGACCGCCGTCCCCGACGCCGTCATCAGCTGTTAATGTACCCCCGCCCGCTCCCCGCCGGCCTTTCCCCTTCGTTTGTGTAATGTGAGGAGGCAGGGCTCAAATGGATTAGGAACTTTATGATATTTATTTGTTCCTTCATTTTTAATATTCTAATACATTAGTCATCGCATATTTTATTAATGATAACAATCTTTATTATTATGTATATTACGAAATGATTATTTATTTTTACATGGTATTGTATTTCATTCTACATTAGTTTTTAAACAATTCTTTACAATATTAACTCGGAGACTGTTAACTTTTAAACACTTTAACTGCATATTTAAAAGTGATCAAGATTAGTCAGATATTCGACAGTTCATAAATAATATGAATAATAATAGGAAAGCTGGCAGCACTGCAATCCAGTTTGTTAAATAAATGATAACCACCTCGTTTCCACATAGTTATCGATTTTATTCCTCACCACCGGAGAACAACACAAAAATGCCAACTTTTAATAATATATCGCACATTATGCCGGCAAATGAATAATTTATCGTTGTATGTCGATTCGAGGCGCGCATCCTCGGGGCTTGAGGGGCGCCCCGCCGCGGGGAGGTGAGGGCAGGGGTGAGAGGAAAGCGGCGGCCTTCCGTCAGTCCGCGCCGAGCGGCCGACCCAGCGTCATGTCTGTGTGTGCGCCGCGCGCATGCTGCCGGCCGCGCGCCCCGGCGACGCTACTCGACATCACAGCAAAAATAGTAGCCGCGACTATACCATTCCAACGCATTGAGGAGCGTTACGAACGCATCCCGGAGCCTGTGCAACGGCGGGTCGTGTACTGGTCGTTCCCGCGGGACGAACGGGACATATGTATGTACTCGTCGCTGGCGCGGGCGCCACCAGACGACCACCGCAACATTGCCTTCTGCCGCGGCCTCAAGCTGCTAGAGGCCGGCTGCGTGGAGAACGTGCTACAAGTCGGTGAGTGTCCGCCTCCGCCGCGCCTGCGCTTGTTTACTAATATGCGCCTCGCCCACCCGCGCCGTATAAATAAAAACCTCGACGTATGCGATCGATAGCTGCTCCTCTCGGGAATTATTCATGCGTCTGCTTGTAAAAGTTTCAAGAGATTAGGAACTGGCTGGTTGCACGGTCTGACAACCGGCGACCGTCCAACACCCGTCGTCCACCCTCGATGCATCACTATCGAACTGACGCATGTACTCTAGTGGATTAGTCGGTTCCGATACAGATAACTCGGCGATCGTGCCCGATCGATTCTCGAGACAGCACATTAATCATGATATATCAAACTACACGCCTAGGTTACAGTGGCCCGTTAGTGTTACCCCGCGACACGCCTTGACGCCTACCGACCAATAAGGATTCGCAGTGCTCATAAATAATTGGATTTCATTACTATGCATCGAGAGCGAGCCGCATTCATAAACCATAAGCCATGGTTCCATAATAGCGCTTCCTCGTATGCAATTTCCCTTTAAAATTTAGACTTGACTAGGTTATTCGTATCCGATCGATGTCTCGATTAAAATCTACTTTCAAAACTACGTCAGATGGCTCGTGAAATTCGGCTAAAATTAACATAACTGGATTTCCCGTTATAAGTGCGTATTCAGAATTACACAACCGGAATTTTCGACTGCGTTTTGCTCAATGTGATGTCGGCGTCGCGGCGCCGTGCAAGATGAGTACAGTCGCATTAATCTATGCAGACATCGTTTGTTAGTGTCCGCTCTGAATAACGGACGCGAATAAACAATATTAATTGCCCGTTTTTATTTTTATAGGGTCAGACCCGGTTTTATGGTATTGTGCTCGGTCGTGGGAGGACGGGCGTTACATATTCATTTGCGCTTATCTGCCATCAGAACGACAATTACTGGCCATTCCGCCCGTTTCGGGTCGCCTCGCGGCCACATACGCCACATTAGGAAGGCATCGCCGTCCATAATGTCTTCACGTCTCTAGAGAACTCTGGCCGTACTGTACTGGGGCAATAAAAGATACGCTGTATAAACACGGCTCCATAGTTCAAATATGCCCGCAGTACGATTTTAGGCACTGGCTTGCGTCCAACTTGAGGGCAACTGAGAACATTTCCAAGATAGCGGCCACTATATGAATCACGTAGGTAGTTAAGTTTCAGATAAACTTGTTAGTGGCCCATATATTTCTCGTGTCTAAAGTAATATAAGTTCCCACACCCATATCATCTGACTCATTCAATCTACCATCGGACGGTTCCGCCTACTTAAGTGAAACAGGCTGAAATATGTTCTCAGAACTTTGAAGGCATGAAGGTTTCCCTTGCGCTCGAGGAAGGATTAAATTGTCTACCTACGTAAATCGTAAAGTGAACCAGGCCAGGGTGAAACGCCGTGAGGAAAAATATGATAAATTTTCCCATTATTGTGATTAGATTTCTATTGGAATTGTAGGTACCTTATAAATCGGAATCCTGTTTGTATTGAATATTGTGTTTAGTTCTGGCACAAGGCTTAAAATCGATAAAAAAAAAAGTGTACAACCAATGGAAAAGATATCTCGTTGGCACCGTCGAAGTTACCAAACAGGAATTGCCAGATTCAAGAGCACATGAATAAAAGAATACTCTGCCCTGAAGGATCATGCAAATGGCATATTTAATAATGTATATCGCTTTATGTATGGTACATATTTGATTGTCATGCAAAAATAAATTAATGCACCCGGCATGTGATTGTAAATATTTTAATTTAATGATAATATAACATCACGATCATTGTGGACACGAATCTCAGTGAAGAGAACCGGTTTTTTCTCCAATGAAAATGTTCAGATAAAGTTGCATACGACTGAATTATTAATTTGTATTGAAATTCATTTTAGGTCAACATTAGAACCCTTCACAGTGACGGAATAATGTAAAGTTTATATTGTCAATGGTGTCCATAACATTGACAGTATAATAAGTTATAATGAATTTCCATAAAATAACGTAATTTTTTTAATTTAAGATTTTTCACCAAAGATACTGCTAAAGTTGTTGCAACCATCTTTTTAATTGTATCAGAGTTTCTGGTCACATAGTGTTCAGCTCAGACGCGATTCCGAGAAGGCTTGAAGCTTTTTATTGCCGGAGGTCTCATGATTCATCCGTGATGATCTTTGATATCCTCTCGTACACATAACGAGTTTACATGTCTGCCCGTTCCAAGTTTTTGTCCCTAGTTCTATTCTTGCGTGTAAAATATTTTGTATCCATTTATTTTAAGCGACGAAAAATTATCGATTTGAATGCTATATTGTATTAAAATGAGAACCGTATTAGATGAAAATAAAAATATTTAAGTACCTAATTTTGTTATTGTGTTTTATATCCATTGACGATAATTCGCTATTAATGAAGGTCGAATCGATAACTAGGAATAAATATGTGTGTATTGGCATGCAAATATATTAGTTTGATTTTCATATAATAGATGGTAGGTAGTTTATTCTCTTTTCTCTTTATGTTTTATCTCATCATCATCATCATCATCATCTCAGCCTTTAACAGTCCACTGCTGAACATAAGCCTCCCCCTAGGGGGGTTTTGCCAGTAATTGCCACGGTTTGCAAGCGGATTGGCAACCGTAGTTAGGCTTTGGAGATGTTTTAAAAAGGACGCTGCTGCCCCTCCCTCGCCCTCCTTCAGTCGCCTCTTACAACACCCACGGGAAAGGGAGGGGTGACCTTGTCTATGCTGGGACCAAACGGGACCACAGCCATGCAAACACAATAGCTTCTCGGTAGAAACTCGAATGGGACAGAGATGCCCAAGCAAACTACTTTTGTAAAAAGTCTCCCTCTATATACATATAAAACAATTTCTTGGTAAATCACAATAAAGGTATTATACAACGATGGCTGCCTAGAAACTCTTGGCAATTAAAGGTGCTCTCTCACACAAATCAACATCTCAACTTACCTCATAAAGGGTCTAGCATAATATATGTAACTAAGTGGCAAACGTTTCCTTACTTATATATATATATATATATTTTATGGGTGAAAATGGAATGGTAACCCCGCCTGCGCTAACGGGATACGCTAGCGGAGCACCAGTGAAGGGTGATTGATGAGAATGAAAACAGGCCAGTTAGCCCATCACGATTAATTCATCAGGAATTAACCATGATAGTTTCCAGGGGGAACCGCGAGGAGGTCGACCTGGTTGGGTATATTGCTATCAATGGGATTCTTAGTGTCCATTACTAACAATCCCTTTCCCCCCACTTAAATATATTTATGCTTTACATAATCTAGGTATATTATATTATTTATTTATTTAAACTTTAATACACAGTAAAATTTTATATACATTTGCCGGACTTGACACCGGACAGTATTCTCTACCAGCCAACCATTGGGCAAACCGAGAAATGAGTAGGCGGTGCATTGTCGAATAGAGGAAAAATAAAGCAATACTTGATATATTTATATAATATAAACATATAATTAGACTAATATAAATGTTTATTTTAATGTTTAATTATTGTGTTATATGTGTATTTCTTATGTATTATTATGTATAATTAATTTAATATGTTGCTATAATTATGTTACATATTTTTCACCACATCTGCCCTTTATACGCTTTCTGTTTTTTCCCAATGGTTAGCTGATAGAGAATGCCATATATAATGGCATTAAACTCGCCACTTGTACAAAGTTTTATTGTGCAATAAAGAATAAATAAATAAAATAAACATACACATAATACATTAAATAAATACGTATAATAAATGCATAAATATATACATAAAATATATTTCTATTGTATATCAAAGAATTAACTGTAATAGAAGAGCAAATAACAATCTATGACAGAGTAACAATCAAGATTAATTTTAAAGGGAAATTGTTTTTGTTATCTATCTGGCAAGACCAGAACTCATTGGCCCTACAGTTATAGAACAAGGATAGTATATTCAGGTTATAGAACGAGACAACACAACCGAAGCCCCATTACGTTCAATTTAGTGTTAGAATGAATCTGTTTACTAACGCCTATGCCCATAAGAATCGTGTTACAGAGCTAGGATTAAAATAAACGATTTGAGATTAGAACCAATTGCATCTTGTCTAGGTACCTACTTTATATTTGACTCAATAATATCCTAACACGATATAAACGAAACCTTCGTTTGATGAAGTCTTCTCTTTGATCTCCTTCCGTATTTTTAAATGACTTCAAAAAGAAGTAAGTTCTTAATTCGGTTGTATTTTATGTTTGTCACCTCATAACTCCGTCTGTTGAGGGAGAAAAGGGATTGTTAGTAATGGGGTCTAACTAACCTATTGCTAGCAATATACCCTGTCAGGTCGACCTGCACGCGGTTCCTCCTGGAAACCATCGTGGTTAATTCTAGCGGAATTCGTCATGATGGGCGAACTGACCTGTTTTTATCGTCACCTATCATCGCTCCCTGGTGCCTCGCTAGTGATAGTGAGGGATGATAGTTGAGAATGAAAAAGCAGGTTAGTTAGCCTATCGTGATGAATACACCTGGAGTTCAGTACGATGGTTTCCAGGGGGGACCGCGGATCTACCTGACAGGAAATATTGGTAACAATAGGACTGGTAGTCCGCATTACTAACAATCCCTTCCCCCCTCTATATAACTGTCTGTATTTAGGTGAGCATCCTGACGGGAAATGTCTTATGTCGGTAAAGGATCTTATGACCATTTGACATAGAAATTGCGTTTAATGGAGGTACGGTAGTAACGATAAATATATAAGTAATAAATTATTTAGTGTTCGATATATTTTTATCGTGTCCTTATCAAAATAGCATATTAAAATAAAATATAATTTATTGTTTCCCCCGAATTGAGCCGAAGTTACACAAGTGCAATGTAATTCTAGTCTGATCTTCAAAGGTCGTTGAATTATAGAATATCTTAGATTATTAATCGTCGCCCTCGACAATCGTT